TAGTTGTCAAGCAGCACATATACTTCCGTGATAAATGAATTATTTTATATTATTTCATTTTATTTATTGAGCAAATGATCAAATTTATTTGTTTATTTGTTTATTTGTTTTTGTTTTGTTATAAGAATGTTTTTATCATATATTGATTTTCAAGTTAGGAGAATATTAATTAACAGTACCGAGTTTCTTTATGTTATTTTGTTATATGTAATAAAATTATTTGTGATAATATTCAATATAAATAAATTAAATTTACTATATTGATTTATGTAATATTAGGTCATACGGAGCAGATATGAATGTATACATTATTGAATTTTAGTCTATACTAATTTAGAATGAATGAATAAAAAAATGTTGATAAAAACCAAAAAAAAAGAAAAATAACATTATATTTTCTATTGAAAAAAATATATATAAACAGCAGTATTTATTAATTAATTAAATAACAATATTTGAAAAGAGATATTTCATATTTTTTTTCTCTTGTTGTTCTCAATAATTGAATTGGTACCACTTGAAATTTTATCATCTATCAAGTGTATTTACTGACATTAGTCTAACTATAAAATTATATTTGTCATTGTTATCTTATTTTTATTTTCTAGACTATAGTGCAAATTTAGAATACATTGACATTCAATTTTATGGCAATACTATAGGAAGGAGTTATAATGTGCTATTACATAGAAGCACACACCATGTGTTAAAGTGTCTGATAATATGTGTCTATGCAACATAGAACAAATGCATTTAAAGACTGAAGCGGAAGAAAGGTAGCATATGCGCCGCCAGAGTGAAATTCCTGTTACATAAAACAGATAATGCAATACACATTAAATTAATTGATGAAAGCTGATCATATATCTATAGACTAAAGTAGATCTTGTTGTGTTACAATTTACCCTCTGCTTCTATTTTCTTGTGTTCTTTATTTAGAGCGTGAGTGTGAATCTACTATTCACCCACATTCATATCCACCTACATCAAATGAATATCGCTTGGTAGTCCTATTGCACACTATGCTTTTTATGTTAGAAAATATTGCATACAAGTAATAATTATCTCAAGAGAATATACGACTTCTAATAGGATTTCTGGTTTTTAGGGAAACTAACGAGAGATGTTTGAGCTAGGATTTGGAAGTCCTGTGTGACTTTCAGCTTAGGTCAAGAGTCACCAAAATTTCGCACTAAGCCGAAATGTCATATAACCTTTTTTAAAGTTGTTATATAAAAATTTTAATTAAAATCAATCAATTCTATATTTTGTATAATAATAGAATTTTTGTTACATGTAAAAATGACACGAATATATCGATGTTAAGCTAGGACGATATGAAACTCCTACAATAGATTTAGAACGATCGAAAAAGTTTTACATATCGATTTTAGGATTTGAGTAAAGTTGAAAGTATCTATGTATATATTTCCGAGCAGTCTCATTCATGTATCGTTTCGATAAGTCCTAATCGTCAAGATTTCGAACTTATCTAAATCCGTCATGGTAACTTCTCATCGTAATAGCTTTACATTGATTCTACGATGACCAGACAATTCATCGCTGAGGGTGTGAATTTTGATGTTAGTGAGGATGTTTTGTATACCAATTGTCCTAGCACTGATGTAAATTGATTTATGTTCGATTAAAAAGTCTAATTAAGGAATTATATAAATATTCTTATTGTTTTAATGTCGAGAATCATTTTTAGATTTAGTATTTACGGACTAGAAAATTTTAAACTTTTGATGAACATGAAATGCGTTTCAATTCATATTGTCTATATATTTTTATTCATCTCTTCACTAACATGAATTGTGTATCATGTAAACTCTACTATAACCGAATTCATATTTTTATCTTTAAAAAAATTGGATATTATTCGAACTAAATTATTCCATTGTTATATATTTATCTGATCGATTGAAAAACATCGAACAACTATGATTGTTTATCTTTAAAAAAACAAACAAAAGAGATACACAAATAAATATTCAAAATTTAAAAGTATATTAATGTTAAAAGTACGGATATGATAATATAGAACAAAGATGTCGATAAAATATTTGTATTATTCGAATAAACAGAATGAATATTACCATCGCCACCACCGCTTTCGTTTATTGAATTTGTATCATTATATAATTTCTTAGGTAGTTCAGTTGCATCAGAAAATGTCTTCCATTTATCTTGACGTACATTTCGAAAAGCTATTTCAAATCGACTATTATTATTTTTACCACCTGGAACAATACGTATGAAAATCATTTTAATTCTATCAGGATATTTTCGAGCAATTTCTCCATAAATCTAAATAATAATTATATATTAAGATTTTTATTTTTTAAATTTATTATTTCTTACTTCTGGATCAAGTTCACCTGAATCACCGACCATAACAAATTTTTGTTTTATTGAAGCATAGGTAAGAATATTTTCTATTACACTTATTTTATGTTTTCGTGATGCATCATGTTTAACAAAATCAATGATACTATTAATTAGATTGAGTTTATCCGAATCAGCCAACTTTAAATGACGCATATCTATAAATAAAAGAATTTTATCATCTCTTATTTGTCTATTAAATTAATATTCATATACGAAATGAACCACCAGGAAAATTTTCTTTATTAAGAAATGTTTGTGTTGCATAATATAATTGTGAAGGCATTGCACTAACATAATGTATTGAGCATTGATCTGAAGATTCCCATGAACGATAAGCTTGAGACATACCTAAAAATATATATTCAAACTAATCGAATTTATCTTCACTCTGTATTTGAATGATAATGAAACAGAACTTCACTTTTCTCTATTGATTAGACATATTTGTCTACACTGAACATTTGAGAAAATATTGATTAATAATCCTGGTAAAATTGAACTATTGATAGTTACTTAGAGTGACGTGCAAAATTGATCATATATCAAAACAAATGATCTAATTTTTTCAATATCTCAAGATGATTTTAATATAGAGAGTTGCAGTTTTCATTAAAACGTATCCATGTTTTCCTAGTTCATCTGTTCAAAATGTCACCTCTAGAGTCCATCGGGCTCAAGAATTTTTGGGCCCGAACTCGGACCAAACCGATCAAAATTATTGCATTCTGACTCAATTGATTGATCTTTTGTGTGTAGAATTTATCGAGTTCAAGAATTTCTGGACCCGAGCTCTACCAGGATCCTATGGGTTCTAATCAGCTTTCTATGTCATATATTTACTATGGTAGACTAGAAATACTAAAAATGATATCGTTAGATTTTGTTTAAAATTGATCATGCACCTAACGAAAAATCGCTTGTCTTTCAATTGAAACATTTAAATAAAACTTTTATACCAAATTCTACAAGATAAAAATGTTAAACACAATGTCACTTCTATAATGTTAATTAATGAAAGATTGCTTTATTCTATCTATTTTGTAACACATTTCTTCACTCATCATTCTACTTAATCCTCTAGCAATGCAATAAGAAAATAGTTCATATATTATAACGAGATGTTATTGATACGGGGTCGTTGATTGTATATCAACAACATCTGTCGCAGTCTATGATGGTCTATTTCTAGTCGAGCATATACATCGAGAGCTAATATTTCGAGAAGATCAACTATAAAAATATGACTACATTTTGAGATGAAAACTTTAATTCTTTATATATTAGAAAAATTGAATAGAAATTTTGAATTGAAAAAAAAAAAAGCTGACCTGGTACTGCTTGAAATGGTTTTCTAAATGTATTAATCATTAATTTTGTTTTAAATGGAACTTCAGATATTTTAATAGTATCATCAATATCCGAAATAATTAAACATCCAATACGATTTTTATTTTTCATTAAATAAATAATACCTTCATATGCATTTTGTTGATTATCATTATCAAAAGCAGTATATTTTAATTCTTGTTTTTGTATATTTAATCCATTTAATGAATCTACAATAATATCTTTATAAAAACGACCATTTTTATCAGTTGATACAATTTCAGAAATAGAATCAGTTAATTTTAATTTTATTTTATGATCTGTAACATCAGTAACAAAAAATGGTTCTATACGTTCTTGTTCAATTTCTTCATTAGATGTTGAACTACTATCCAAAACACTTAGTGCTGCTTGAAGAGTAGTTTTAATAATAATTTTGATGAAACCTAAACTTCAAAAAAAAACAAAAGAAAAGTTAAATTTATCACTACTTAAAATTTAGAAACTTTACCTGAATCTACTGGTTTATAATACCATCCATTCAATATGAAAGTAAATTTACCAGGTTTATCATTCATTTCATAACCAATACTTGGAATAAGCATAAATTTTTTTTTAGGATTTCCACTGCTGTCAGTATCATTTTTATTTGTAGTAAACGGATTCTTATCTTGAAATAGATGACTTATTTTAATACTATCAACAAAAAATATGATAAAGATTAAACGTAATATACAATACATTGTTTTTATTATATAGAAATTCAAACGAATGAAAAGAAAAAAAAATCTACGAAATTGCCTTAGCAACTAATAATAAAAGATAATCAATATTTTGAATATTCTATTCCATACTTTTTAATATTCATAGTTATATTCGTATGTTTCTTATGATAATTTACAACGATCTAAATTAATTTTATATTAGAGTTGTAAAACAAATCGAAGAAATTCCAAGGAAGGAATGATACTTAGAATAACATGCAAGGACATTTGACAATCAATTTTCGCAATAGTACGAACACAAAATTTACTATTCCATTGTTTTAAATCTAAGTTCTTCTGTCACTCAATGTAAATCCTACAACACTAAACTAATATTCACTTCAAGCATTTATGATTGGAATCGTGTGATTTTGTTAAAGTACTCTTGCATAATAAGACGATGTATTAACATCTGAATTCCAAACTATAAAAATCAGATCGGCAGCTCTAGTTCGAATGGATCTTAACTTCATTCACATCCGCCTACTCTAATGATCATGTGATGAGCTTCAGTTTTATAAATAGTAACTTTTTTTTTCCGTGTCTACATAATATAGCAGATAAATAGTTACTCTACATTAAGATCCACAACGTTTAGCTTTGTTGTATCTATAATAAACTGTTCTCTTATTTTCTGTATAGTTCGATTAATGTTTTGTTCATCCGTTTCTAATTGATGCTTCTACTTCATTAACATTATAAAATGTAACTTTGTTAACCTAATATTTTGTTATCGTCCATCTTTTTTTCTCGTAGACTCTAAACTGCAGTCGAAGACAAGGATAGAAACAAAGAGCACCTACATGTATGTCGTACATAGCATTTGTACTATATGAAGAGCTGCCATGATCGAATTACGCTGTTGTTCCACAGATATTCATAAGACACTGTGTGCAAACTTTGGTATTATCAGTCATAGAATGACCCTGGACATGTCATTAACGGCTGTTTGTCTCGGATCACTAGTCTGATAGTATACTGCCTATGCTATCATATACACTTGCTCTTGTAGCTATTATGTGGTTAGTGTATATGGAGAGCTCAAGCAATTGAGTGCCAGAACTCTATGTCAGATTGGCTTCCCATCTAGAGCTACAGCTAGTACTAGTTGTAGGAAAGATGTTGAGCTACTGAATCGGTGATTAGGCAGCTTTCCATATTGCATGGTAGGGATGTTCTTTCTTCTTGTACTACATAGTATAGAGAAACAGATAAGAAAAACAGGTGAATTTGTATACTACTGACATCTATCTTAGTTCTTCTTTAAATGGTTGAATACGAACTAAACAGGAAGTTGTTATTGATTTTAAATGTTCACATAAGATGTTACAACAAATGTCAATTATTTAATATCAATCATTTAAATGGCTTGTCGTTTATCTCTTCACATTTGTTGGTATCCACGAACTATTATATATCAACAATTTTTTCTTCGTTCATCATTTTCTACCATACCAAGTGCAGATAATGTAACACAATCCCATCGATCAGCTTCTCGTTTTTCCGTTAAAATTGCTCGATTTCTTTTTTCCAAAAATCGTCTTAAACCATATGCACGTTTATCTACTCATCCACATTATACAAAAACAGAAAGTCCTGGTGATATTCATGAGTTAGCACGTGATTTTATTCTTTCACTCGAACCAGGTCAGTAAAAATTTAAAAAAAAAAAAAAAGATCTATTTGAATATATATGTATTCAAGAACATCGACGAATTCTTTCCAATGAATTAATTGAATTAGAAAAATTATCAACAGCAACAACTGGTACAATACCAGTTCTTTCTTCACAATTAGCTATTAGTAAAAATAATTTATTTGTCTATTTTCAAATTGTTTGTTTTTTTTTAGTTTTTCTTGAAACTGGACTTCCATATATTGGTTTTGGTTTTGTTGATAATTTTGTTATGCTTGTTGCTGTAAGTGAAAATTCCTATTCGATGAAAAAAAAAATAACTTCATTTTATTTAGGGCGAAACAATTGAAACATTTTTTGGTGTTGCTTTTTGTCTTTCTACAATGGGAGGTAATAGAAATAAACAAAACAATATATATATATATATAATAAACTTTTAATAGCCGCCGCTTTGGGAAATGCGGTCAGTGATGTAATGGGCGTTGGGTAAATAACTGAACATTGCTCTTGAAAAGAATATTAATAAATTTTCTTCTTTTGATTTAGTCTTGCTGACCGTATTGAACGAACATGTGGACGATTTTTAGGTATGTTTGGAGTTAAACAACCTAAATTAACGTCTGATCAATGGGGACAACGATCAGTACAGATAACTCAATTGATGGTAAAATTATTGAAAAATTTCTTCGTATATATAATTATTTTGTATTTCTAGTCGAAAGTTATTTGTATTTTTGTTGGTAAGTATGAATAATATTTTGTTTTTGTTTTTTTTTTGTATTAAAATTTATATATCTTTTCTTTTTGAATAGGTTGTTTATTAGGTATAAATTATTTATATTTATCTTTTGTTTTGTTTAATATTTATTTTTAATTATAAATAGGAATGTGTCCATTACTCTTTCGTAATACTTCTTCTACCAATAAAAAACAGTCGACAGACAAAAACGAATAATTAATTTATTAATGATTTATATAATCAGACTTAGGAATTACTTTTACTGTTAGTTTCTAATAGAAAAAAAATGTCATTTTCTCTTTTTTTTCTTTTTTGTATTTATAAAAATAAGAAAAATATTTATTTTTAATAATTAACTAACATTAATTTTTTTTTTACTTCGAGATATGAATCTTCTTCGTACATGTTATTTAACAACACGTTTAAGTCATTCATTCATACATTCTTTTATTCGTCAAACACATATAGAAGCATCAACAGAACAATCACCAATATGGATTCAACCAAAAAATGAACCTATTGAAACTAAACGTCGTCGTCTTCTTTATCAAAGTCGAAAACGTGGTATGCTAGAAAATGATCTTTTACTTAGTAATTTTGCTTCAATTTATTTATCAAAACTGAATGAATATGATCTTGATTTATATGATAAATTAATAAATACACCATCAAATGATTGGGATTTATATTATATGGCTATAGGAAGAATAGATACACCGGAAGAATATCAACATCATATTATGGATTTACTTAAAAATTTTGTTAAAAATGAACAAAAACAAACACGTCATCGACAACCAAATGTAGTACCTGTTTAAAGAAAACAAAAAATAATCTAAATTAACTTTATGATATTTTTTTTTTTGAGACTATTTAATAAATGTTTTATAGTAGCAACAAAATATAATTGTAATGTTTTATTAATTTTAACCCTTTCTTGCTGAATGTCACTTATAAGTGTCATTTTTCAGGTTGTTGAAGAAGGATCAGCACTTATTGCAATAAATGTAAAGTTTGACTTTGTTATGCTGAAACTAATTATTTCCAATTATACCATTGACTGGAAGAATAGATCTTTCCAACTCAATTTATATACCACAACAAATAATGATTTATGAAGTAAATGTAATTATCGTATGCTTACGATAATATTATCATAGTATTCATTCTGTTGTAACTTTCATAGGTTTTTCTATACAATAAAAACTATCGAACATTCAATAAGGTCAACTATATCAGCATTTAAGTGATGTGATTCCAACTTTTTTTGTGCATATTATCAGACGAATTTCAGTCTCAGACCTTAAACTTTAGTCACAGACAAGAAAAAGTTAATAAAATATTCATCTTATGATAAAGAACTTTTTTCATATTGTTTCATTAAATCAAAAATTTGTTAATTTCAAAAAGTAAAATTTCTTTTTATTGATCTAGTCTGGTTTACAATGTCTGCATATCATACCGATTGCTATTTTTAATTTTACAAATACGTTGAATTCTAGAACTCTCTATTAATATTTCAGTTGTTTACTTAATTTATTTTCCAATAGCAAATTAAAACAAAGAGATAATCATCATAAAAATTTTTCATACGAGAAAGTCTTGAATTAATACAATATTTTTGATAGTACTAATTCTACTTTATGTAATCGAAAAAAAATGTAATCATGATAACAAAAATAATATATGATTAAACATACAACGAAAAGATAAAAGCAAATATAGAGAATAAATGATACTTATAATAACAGGGAAGAACATTGACATAATCTAAGTTCTTCTGTCAATCAATGTAAATTCTACAACAATAAATTGACGTTCGGTTTAAGCATTTATTGCTGGATTTGAATGAATTTATTAAAGTACTCTCGAATAGTAAAACAATACGTCAACATTTGAGTTTCAAACCATTAGAGCTAGATTAACAATTTTGACTTGGCAGACAGTTCTGATTGTAGTCATGTAGAATTCAAAATCTTTCTTTAATTCATTAATCACTGCATATAAGTTTGGATTGAACGTGCCAATATTTGCATTAAAGTGTTGGTATGAGCCATCCTATGCGGATGTATATGTGTCCAAGTAGTGAAAATTACATAAAGCTCGGCGATAATGCTTATTAACCACAATACTATATTAAGAAAAACTTGTCGAGAAATATGCTAACCTAATTGAATTTTTTCTGAAATACTTTGATTTTTATTGATTTCAAGAGATTAAAAAGTATTTACCTTTCCTTCGCATTCGACGACAGGAACAGTATGTATTATAGAGTAGCTGACTAATTTCAGTTCTAGAAAATAAATCAAAATATCGTCGACACTTACATTGCCAAAGATGAATTATTAATCAAATTCGAGCGATGACATTCATATTAGAGCAGTTAAATAAGCTATAGATAAATATTAGGCTCAGGCACAGATGTGGTTGAACACATTATCGACACCTAATCCATTGTGTATATAGAGATGAGCATAGGTTGTGATTGCACGGCGCACTCCCACGCCTCGACACTGATAGAAGGGTGGATATGGGGTAGCGTTTGAGATGACTGAGGTTTTTGGTCATTTTTTGTAATGTCTTGCAGAAATGAGTGATTTCAAAACGATTTCATCGTATGCAATATTGGAGAAAAAGACGTCTCTCTGGTCTTCTCTTTCGATTGGTAACAACCGCAGGTGTCTCGTTATTTGCGTTCTTGAGTTATCCAAAAAACAGTAGAGCGCACTATATTTTGAAATGAGCAAAAGAGCCAAGTCTGCAATCGATACGAAATATTGATCTAGTAACACGTCCAATTCACTCGAAGGAACAAAGAAATTACAGATGGCGTTCGAAAATAGTCTAATGATTCACCAATGTTTACAGGAAGAGGTGCAACTATAGTCGTTACTTAGAAAATGGTATTGCTCAGACGATTACACAGACTTTCGAAAACAATCAAATAAGGGTGAATAAGTTCATTTAACTCTTTTGAAAAAAATTAACTTTTTCAATGTCGGAAAACGATAACAAGAGTGGAACATCGACTGAATCTCGAGAAGAAGTCAAAGGATTAGTGGGACCAGCAATGACATCAACTGATGCGCCTCGTACGAAAAATATTTCTCAGTCGCATGCTGGTGGCGGTGCTGAACGATTGGGTCCAACTGCTGGATTGGGTACGAATACAGGTGCCGGTGGTCTAACAACGATCACATCCGATCAACAGGATAAGCATCATGTTACTGATGATTTGAAAAAGTAATTTTATTTTTTGTAACGCAGTTTTTTTAATATATTCAAGCAATATCAGCCAAAGAAAGTACATAAAAGAATAAATGTTCTGAAGTAGCATTTTGCCAGAGGCCAAACAGTTATATCAGCTCTCGATGTACCTTATAGCGCAAGCAACTGCAGACTATTTGTTTCCTCTCTATTGTTGATTTACATGTTAAAGAACTCCAACAATGAATATTATTCAATTTCAATTTTCCGTCATTGATTCACTTTATGCAAGTTAAAGATCTAATTCATACAAATAATAAAAATTTTCATTTTTGACTAGATGTTGTATTTATTGAAATTCTAATAACTGTTTCACATATATCTGTTACATATATAAATACTAGAAATATTTGTATAAATCAAATATGATAGAAAAAAATAAACAAGAAAAATCTATTTAAGTGAACGAATATAATAAATAAAATGGAGATTTTGATGAATAAATATTATTAATATGTGCATGACGTTCAACTAATATATTACTATTTGTTGTCACCGTCGATGGATGTTTATAAAAAGTTAAATGATGATGATGATGATTAGACTAGAAAAAAAAACAGAATAAAGATATTTTTATTTTTCTATAATGATATCATATATGAATAGAACGTCCATCTCCAGTAGAACACATTGTACTTGGTAAATATTCTTTATCACCAGTTATTGATGAGCCTGTTAATGTTACACCTTCATCACTATTATCATTATCTAAAAGTAAAAAAAAAACATATTATAATAGTTGTGTTTTATTTTTGACCTTCGAGAATGTTTAGCAACTAATGAAAGAATATCCTCAAAGTGTCCAATGAATTTCTAATCAAGATTATACTCATATGATAGACTATGATGAACAACATCAAAGTCTAAGATAGTTCGATTTGAAACTTGTACAAATAAAACAACAAGTTTACCATGAAAGTTTCATTACTTTTAGTGCTTTACATCCGATCAAAGACATACAAAAATCAGTGACATTTTTTTCCAATGAACTAATATCCTTCAGAACTTTATTTGTGTAAAGTTTCAAGTCAAAATTCGATTTTCATCGTGACTTGAGAAGAACTACAGGCTCAGACAACCGAATTATTTTAGATTTTGACACTACCAGAAAACAAGATTTTTTTTACTAGACAAAAACAAAGGAATTCTTTACTCAAAAATCAGAGTTTTTTTTTTGTTTTAGAAAAACCTTTGGCTTTCTATTGGACCTAATAAAATTTTTCTTACTGAAAAGAAAGTTATAATATCATGTAAATATACGAAAGAATTAGAGAGTTTATTCATATATTCGAAATGAATTAAAAGCATAAAAACATACTTTTATGTTTACAATATTCTCGTTGTTGTTTTTCATTAATTATAATATTTAATTCATGTTCATCTTTAAATAGAACAGACATAGCTTCCATATTTAAAGCACAAACACCACGCATAAAAGCTTTTTTAAGATATTTATCATGTGGTTTTTTATCAAATTTTAATCGATTTATTTCTTCATTTGCATTTAATAATTGTAATTCTAATTGTTTATATTTCATTTCATATTTATGATATAATTCATTAAGAATAATTTTCGATTTTTTTTTACATATTAATTCAAAATGTTTTTTCCATTCTCGTTCAATCATATATTTCCAATTGATGAATACTTTCTAGATAGAAGAATATTAATTAATATAAATCTAAGAAAACAAAAATAATCTATACTCTTTTTATCTTTTCTTCATAAAAATGTTTAGCTAATAATAATAAATATTTTTGTTGTCTTTTTTCAATATAAAATATACGCCATTGATAATAATGATAATAAAGAATAGTTTTATTTTGAAATAAATCTAATGATTTATCAAGATTTTTTTCTATTTGATTTTTTTGATCAATTATATATTCATAATGTATTAATATTTCACGCATATTTTTTATATCTTGATTTAAATGAATATATTCTTTTATTTGACTAAAAATAAAATTAAATATTTATTTCATTTTTGTTTTTTTTTTATTTTATTTTAATTTACATTTCTTTTTCATATAAAATATTTCGTTGAGCTTCTTCATAAAATTGTAAACGTAATTTATCAAATTCATTCTTTAAAAAATATACAAATCATTAAATAAGAACAAAAACAAAAAAAAAACAAATGATAAAAGTTTTACTATGAGATTTTTTTTCATGACTAAATACCAATGATCCATTTTTTCAGTTATTAATTCTGAACAATGAAGACGATGATGAACTTCTTCTGATAATATTTGTTTTTCTTGATTTTCTATTGTTAAATAAATCAATCGAAATAATTTATTTGTGTCTTCTTTTATTGCAGACAGTTTTCTTTAATTGAAGGAAAACAAGCGAAAAATACATATAGTAAAATGATCAGTGTATATATATAGTGCGATTTAAAAAAGAAATTAATCCAATATTTTGAAGATATTTTATTTTTTCGTTCATTTTGAAATTTAGTTGATCTTATCGAAATTCGACTAAAAAAACTAACAACCATATCGAAGGATACCATAAGTTCTTTTTGTTATCGATATATAAAGATATTCGATACAACTGATCTTGATTATGAACCTAAGAAAAATTAGATATTATGATGTGATCCGAAAAAAGTTATATGGGAAGGACTCAACTCTTCCTGGTCATGTCGGTAGAGCGAACGAAAATTCTCTCCTAATATTTCTACAGTATGATTCAAGTCGAAAAACTGATCCGTTTGGTTACGAGCATTACTCCGAAGTTTATTTATTTCTCACCATTATTAGATTTTATTATATCAATATGATGTGTTCTTGGACTATTTAAATCAATAAAATCAGTAACGAGTTGTCTAGTTTGATTACTTGGAAGATTATCAGTAGGAAGAATAATATTTCGTTGTAATACATCATCATTTTCATTCTAAATCAAAAAAAAAAGTTACATAAGTCAAATTATCCTATAACAAACCGTTAATTGTGATGCTATAAAAGATCTAGATAGATTGAAATTAACTGACATTTTATTTATCTTAAAAAAAAAAAAAATACATCTAAAACAATAAACAAAGATATTAAGTTTTGATTTCTTTTTTTTTATTTTAGTCTTCTAACAAAAAAAAAACAAACAACAACAACAATTAAGGTTCATCAGGTGGTGGTGGTGGTTGATCTTTTTGTGTATCATATGAATGTAATGCATGTAAAAGTTTTTTTTCTATTTTATTTAATGCTCGAATTGTTAATACCAATGTTGTATGTTTTAATATACTATAAACATTCAAACCTAAAATATGATTGAAAAACTAAAATTAAAATACAAAAATTCTATTTACCATAAACAGGCATCAATGTAAATCCTTCAGTTTTAGCACATGCAAACATAATATTATGTGGCATAATATCCGTACTATTATAATAAATAATTAGATAATTATTATTATTTATTTAATAACATACTCATCAACAAATAGTATCGATGGTCCCCAAAAACGATCTTCACTTAATTCTTGAAGGTACTATAAAACAAAAACAAAAAAAAATAATATTAAAATAAGAAACAGAATATTCATACTGTTGGTTGATGAGTTGGTAAATCAAATGAATCAACAAAATGTACATCATTCTATGAGAAAAAAAAATAGATTTAATAACAAAAAAAAAAGCTTTTTTTAATTAAATCTACTTGATGTAATTTAACAGTTAATGCTGTACAAAGACCTTCAATACGTTTTTCTTTTGGAAGAACATAAAAAAATGATGTTGGACCTTTTGGTCCATTAACTTTATAACCACCTTTCCATTGAGGACCATAACGTGATTTATGTCGTGCTCGACCAGTTCCTTTTTGTGGCCAAGGTTTTGCTCTCATATTTGGATATTCATGATGTGGTGGTGTATATGCCCAATCCTTTATTTTAGGAAAAAAAAAAAACAAAACAAAACATGATAATAATATTATTAAATAATTTTACTTACAATTGTTTTGTAAGTTTTTTGCCATTCAATATTTTCATAGAGAATATCTAATCTATAATTAAAATATAAATAAAGATAAATAATTAATTAAAAAAATTTACCTTGGTGAAGTTTGCCAAATCGATGGATGTAAATCAACAATACCTAATTTTTCATCACGTTTTTGTCCTAATGTTTCAAGCCAAGCTTGTAATGATGGATAACGTATATGAGGATATTCAAGTTGTCGACTAACAATTAATGGAAGTTGTTGAGGAATAGAATTTGTTGATGATTCAGCTTAAAATATATCAACATCATCATCATTTTATTAAATAAAATTTCAATAAAAAAAAAAGAAATTAACATACGAGAAAAAGTTGATGATTGTGAAGAACTTTCAAAATATCGAATAGATCGAACAATCGCACAATATCGAAAAATCTAAGATAAATTTATTTACAATTCTTCCAAGCAAAAAACAAAAACAACGAAATTACCTTGGTTAGAGATAAAGACTTGATCATTATTGATATTTAGCAATAGAATTTACTACTGAAAATTATGAATTACATATACTAATTCTCTATTGGTACTTGTCAGATTGCTTTTTTTTTCGATAGAGGACGTAATAGTTCTATTAATGAATATACATAAAAATTTAACATGATGTTTTCAAATTTATTTCTATCCCTTGCTATATTTATTTGAAAGTTATACTAACATTAGTAATGTTACATATAATAAGATTGAAATTTCACTAAGATAAAAAATAATAAAACATTATAGGATGTTTATCATCAATAGAGTCCATCGGATTCAAAGATTCTTGGACCCGATAGGCTTTAATCACCAATGAACCAGTGACGAAGACGGGGCTCACACTCCGTAGCCCAAATATCTGGCTTCTCCACTGCAATGAATTCGTGCAAAATTGTTTACAATCTCCCAAACTGTATTAAGTGACGATTAGAGCACAGTGGGTCGGTGTATATGCCTTCTTTCGACTTCATGGAGGCGGACTGAGCTCCCCTACAAGTTTTTTTTTCCATCTTTGCATTACTAACTGTTGTACTTTAATAATAAAAGCTTGCTTGTTGAAATTGAAAAGATATTAGTACTAAACAAAGATATATATAGTTTTATGAAATGATGAATTTCTTTGCAATGTTAAGTACTACTTGACACAAATGTTCATTTTGACGATAACAGTTAATTAAAACCAAAAGTCAAAATTTATTTTGTCGATTTTAATTATTTTTTTTCTTTAACTATAAATCTTCAAGTCAGCAATAAAATTTTTAATATTAAATTCTTTAATAGTGTTATAAAAACCTATTAATTAAAATATATTAATCAGTTTTCTATAGATAATTTATATACAATATAAAATTTAATATCGTCGAATGAGCGTCCTTAGGCCATCTTTACCTGACAGTATTAGCAATTCAATAATAATCGAACTAATGCTGTTTGGTAAGATGAAATTCAGCTGCTCTTTAAATTTAAAAAAAAAAAAAAAATGAAAATATCTAAGATTTCTTCATATATATATACTTACGTTACTCATATTATATTGAATGATGAATACTAAAGAAAAAAGTTGTCTATTTATACAAAAATTTACTATTGACCAACATTCTCTCTCTCTCGTCCTTTTCTTTTTTCGTACGATGATAAAGGGCGTACTCTGTACGAATTATATTGACGAAGGATTATCGTTGATATAGGCACGAGTTCATCCGCCCTATCTAACGATTGGATCATTCGTGTTCAATCTTTCGATCCTTTTCCTAATATATATACAACAGACAGAGACAAACGGCACGTGTAATTAGTTTGTCAATTAGGTGATGGGTATTAGATATTGACATTTGTTTGTGTGTACATATACACGGATGTCGAAAAGAATATCCTGTTTACAAAGATGTCACATATACGTTATATTTACTTGTAAGAATAAGATAATAATTATTTGCTAAAAAACAAAAAAAAGAGGTTTTTTGTTTTGTTAGAAGTAAACTAAATATAATCTTAATTATATTAAAGAATTAGTATATTGTATTTTTAAAAATAATTTTATAAAATATAATGTAAAAACAAAAGTAAATATTTCATCAAAATTATAAAAAATTACATTAGATACAAAAAAAAAAAAAAGAACAATTCAGTATAAATCATAACTATTACATCTTTTTCGATTTTTGTGCCAAAACAAAAAAAAAGTATCAAATAAAGATTGTCCCAATCATTTAGATGTATAATCTGTGAATCAATAATTCTTTTCTATCCATTGAATATATTAAATCTAGAATGACAATATTTTTTCATCATTCATTTCATATTATTATACTGACGACAATATCACGCTTTGTAGTATTTTTCAATGATATTTTTAGAAAAAATGAGAAATGTCTTTTATTTCCTTTTTTGATTGTACATCTTAGAATCTTTGAAGGAGTCTCATCATTGTAACTAATTGCTTCTTTTGTTTTTTTTTTTATTTAAAAGACCGTGTCGTGATAAAGTCCTTTTTGTTTTGTATTAGACATTGTTCCTATTATATATAAAAGAGTACTTTTAAAATTTACATGCTATTTTTTGAGAGCTTTTCAGGACATTGAACTTTCTTTTTCTTCTCTTGAAAAAGTAACAAATTCTTTCATACTTATTAAAAATGCAAAAGAATATTAAGTCATTTTTATAAAGCAAATATATAACAAAAAAAGTTTTTATTACAAACTGATTGATATCAGTTAATATTCGATGTTTTAATTCGAAAAATATAGTTTGAATATTTTTACATCTTAATCTATATAAATAGTTATTATATATCATGGGCTTTTTTTTCTCTCAGTTGTTGGCCAAGTAAAGTTTGTATTCATAGTTTGAGAATGAAGAATATTTCGATAATTAATTAATCAAAATGTTTGTAATTTAGAAATTACGCTTGAAAAGAAATAATAATAAAAAAATCGCAACTCAATTGGCAGTTAGTGATGCGCAGAACCTATCCGGAAATAACTTTTAACTCTGTCCGTGTTCCAGGATCATCTTGCTCATATCTACTAGCACTGTTTGCAAATTTAATAATTTTCTTAGAACTGATGATAGTATTAAAAATGAAATAAAACAACTGTGTTATAGCATTAGGTGATATGTGATCAAAGTCATTTGAATAGTTGAGATGTGCGAAAGAATAGTCGATAAATTAATTAGTATGATTTTATTTCACTAAATTTTGTGAACAGAATAGATATGTATAATGTGGTATATAGAATGTTTAAAGTAATATTAGGCATAGAAACTTCAAATATCTCGTAAGACGAAAGAACATATTGATGTGAATATTTTTTATTATAGAAATTGAATTAACTTCTTAAGATTTATGAAATTGACACTTAAGCTAAATTTCCTTTGACGACTTTTAAATATCAATTTACATTATATAAAATATTCAATTCAGTCTACTCATTTATCTTATTTAAGAAATATACGACATATTTAATTTATTATTTTTTAACAACTAAATCAAATTCCTGTTCAATTACATTTTTTTTTTGTACAAAAATTTCAAAATTATTTTCTTTAATCCACCAAATAAGTTTTCGAAATCTAAATGATTGAATAATTGTAAAACTTGTATTATTTGTTAAAAAAAAAAAGAAACAAAATACAATTACAATGTTGAAATCATAGTTGAAGAAAAAATAATATAAATAATTATCATTGAGAATTGCTTGTTTACATTGTCAATAAGATATAACATCAAAGAAAATATTCTAATTTTAGATTATATTTACTTGTTTCTTTTTTGTTTTCATTTTCCATACAAATTTATTATTTCCGTAATTTTGTTGTTTGCTGTTTATATATCACATCATAGTGCAAAAATTTACACATTAAAAAAAGAAAAGAATAGGACATTCTTTTTTTTTTCAATATAATTATTCGTCAATTATATTGGATTATCGATTTTTTTTTGTCATCATTAATTAATCTTCAATTTTATTTTAATAGAAAATATTAAATTATTAGTTTTTTTGACTTTACAATTGATCTTTTCATTCGCCTTCAGATTTATCCAGGGATTACTTTGACATGACAAGAATAAACAACTAAGACATATCAAATTGCTAATAACTATCAAGCTGTTAAACACGATCTCTGTGAAACAAAACAAAAAAGTGAATTAAAGAAATAAGGACACCAACATCGACAATTATCATTATCTTTTGAACAAGTATTGAAATTGATTTTCATATGAAATAGAAAATATTAATTACAATCACATGTTGACTATGACTTTTAGTAAATATTCCCGAATAAATCAATTTAATCGAATAGCTATTTGCCTATAATGATATGAAAGTATGAGGGTATTTTTTGGGTAATAACTGTCACAGTGTGAATTCAATCTATTTACTTCTATTGTTCATAATTAAATAAGCTTTGCATTACAAACATTTTCAATTTACTACATAAATATAAACAAAGCAAAAAATTTCGAATAGTTCTTTTTAAAACATTACTAATTCGAATAAAAAATTGTCTTAAGCATAACCGAAAAAATCATATATTATTAATTTTTTTGCATAGTACTATTTCATAATTGATTGAATTTATTATAACTTTTTTTTTTTCTAACAATCAATCATATTGACCATTTTAATGAAAAAGAAAAAGTCTATACTTTTACTCATGTATATCATTCTTAAATATTTCTTTGTTAAATATCATGTTTCAAGAGCACATTAGTTTTATCATATAAGTGATGGGTTTGCACAAAGATTCTATAATGTAATATACTCTAAAAGACTAAATGTTATGACGATTAGAAGAGAAGAAGAACGTCTATTAACAAACTAATGAATTCTAGCACGTCATGTTAGAGTACACAAATTTTCTCTTTTTCTGAAGTATAGGCGCACATGATCAATATTGTAGAAAAACGCACGCACGTTATGATAGCTGGTTATTATAAGCTGACAGTTGCTGAATATTGGTAATAGTTTCTTTTATTAATTTCATAGAGTTTGTTATAACTTTTTTTATATGATCTGTTAAATTATCCATATGTGATGGTTTAATAGAGCAGATAATAAAATATTTCAATAGAAATATTATTATACTTCTAATATGATATTTCAATGATTTTGCTTTATTAATATATTACAATTTAGACAAAAAACAAAATTTATATATATAATCAGAGGAAAGTTTAGTTTTTAAAAGTTATGACATAGACACATATTTCCGGATTTTTTTTTTTTATTCATTATTTGCACCTATTATTTGATTGTTGCATGACTGTTATTGACGTCAGTAAATATCGATGCATGACATGTTAGTGCAATCGGCAGGCCAATCACGATTTAACGCATGACATGAGACCAAATAATCTATGATTTTATTAGTCAAACTCAACTAACATATATATATAGTAGAATAACACACACAAAAAAGAAAAAGAATAAATTTATCTGATTATTAAAACATTTTGTAATTTTATGATCATATGGCTTTGTTTGTTGCTTATCTTTTATATTTTTTAGAAGGAAAAATTAAAAAATAAGATAAGTGAAAAAATTATAACAACATTTTTTTTATTATCGTGAACATCAGCATCTACAATGTTTCAACAAAGGTCAAACAAATCAGATTTATGCTTGTACGTATTTTTCGAAAAACAAAAGAAAACCCATGTTTATATTGATGTCAATGAATACTATTTTGCTCATCAAAAACACAACAAAAAAAAACAATGACAGTTTATTTATAGTAGAAAACCTAAATCCTATCCTTTTTTTTCATTTCCTTTCTGTCATTTTCTTAAAGTACTAACAAGATAGACTAACAGTTAGCTTGTCAAGAATATTAACAACATAGGATCATATTAAACAGACAAGGATAGCTATCTATTCTCATTGGGTCGGTTTCTTTTCTCTGTTTCTTTTCTTTTCTTATTTCTTCTATTCTTTTCCCTCATTTACACACAAATCAAACTTAGATTCTTTCGTTTTCTATATAAACTATTTCGATTCATATGACTAATACATCTACTTAGATATTTATATTTCTTATGACTAGTATATAGCAGAAGAAAATTTTCTTCTTTTTGTTTTTTTTTTGCTGTTTCTTCATACCCTTCGATCGAATTACAATATAATACTGCTTTTATAACATTTACTTATTGACTATCCATTATTCAATACATAATGCAGGTTACAAGCAGGTAGATTCTTATTTCTTATATATGATTAATAAATGATTAAAATGAAATTTTCTTATAACATATATATATATATCTTTAAAGGGATATTTTTTTAAGGAAAAGTAGTTGTGGTGATTTACAAAGTCGTCTTAAAGTTCGAAAAGTATTAGGTGTTGGAGATACAGCAGGTTCAAAAATAAGTCAAATACTTGGACATTCAGATCATTTAATTTTTCAATTACCACCTAAATTAGCTACTTGGCTTCTTTTAACAACAACATTATTTTGTTGTTTTACTGTAATGGTAATAATAATAATAATAAATTATTAATCATGTATGATTTCGTTTTTGTTTTTTGAATAGGGTCTACTTTGGCCATCTTGTTTACGATTTATATTACTTGGTAATTTTGAATCAACATTACATCTTGCTACATCTTATGCTTGTATGTTATATTTTATTTATTTTTTAATATTTTTTTTTTTTTTTGTATAAATAATATTTAGTTTTGGCAACAATACTTGGTTTAACACTTCGATCGGGAGATAAAATTTCTTTACAACTTGTTCTTTTTTCTCTTACTTTATTTCATTCATTATCTTTTTGTAGTAAGTTTTATTTATTTATTTATTTATTTTTTATTTTTAAACATAAAAAAAATATTTCTTTTAGTTTCTCTATGGTTTCTTAAAACAAGTGATACAAAAATAAAATCAATGATATCACTTATTTTTCATTTATTTTGTCTATTGATAAATGCACATTTTTATCTAACAATTATTCGATCTGTATCATTATTTCGATTATATTATAAACCAAAAGCATTTTTTTCTTCAATATTATCATTTCCATCAACACCTGAAAACATTGGACATGATTCTTCTTAAAAACAAAAAAAAAACTGTATATATATATATATTATTCATTCATGTTTCATTATTGTTTTTACAATTAAAAGAAACAATCTATTAATGTTTTCTTCTTCTTTTCTTTAAACAGAAATTCACATAGAAGAAAGATTTCCATGTTTATAATATATATATATATATATATATATAATGAATTTTTTCATTTTAATTTCTACTTAATTTATTATGATGCTCAACTTTTTCTATAATAGAAAATAAATGTGCCAATTATATTATATTAGAAAATGATGGTATGAATATTGATAGAATAATATCTTTATCCAACACAATTGATATACATGAAAATAGACAATAATAAGAAAGTACCACTTACGATGGAATTTTCCCAACGGTCATATCGCTTTTGAGTCGAGCGTATGCGCATCATGTAGACCCTAATGATCTACGAATACTCTGAAGAAAGTTCGTGCCGCTTGCTTATTATTGCCGAGATATTGCATTTTTATTGTATGTTTAAGAAAAAAAAGCTGTGGCCCCTCCCCCATAGAAACACTAAGTTTCGAATTTTAACTTGAAACTTTGAATAGAGATAGGTCTCAATGAGATTAGTTTATTGTGAAAGTTTCAGATCTTTTCGTTGTTCCTATTTTAAGATACAGCTATGGTAAAATAACTTATATACACCAGTAGATTCCGATGTTCTTATTTCAGACTAGGAGCATTGAAAAGATTTGAAACTTTCACAATAAAATATTCTCATTGAGATCTGTCCCTGTACAAAGTTTCAAGTCGAAATTCGAAACTTAGCTTTTCTAGTGTTCCTGAGGGGATCACGGCTTTTTGCTTATACATACAGTAGAAATACAATATCTCGGCAGTAATAAGGTAGTGGCACAAACTTTTTTCGGAGTATTCATAGATCATTAGGGTCTACATGATATGCATACGTTCGACTCAAAAGCAATGTGACAGTTGGAAATGTTCCCTCATTAGTCTATTGTTATTTAATTGAATTATATACGATGGTATTGCAGTAACATGTGAATTAATGAAACAAAACTAGTAATAATTGCAGAAAATCCATGACAATCTCGATTAAAAAACAAAACAAAAAATGAATAGTCCAAATATATTTTTGCATGATAGAAAAGAATCTATGATTACTTTCAAAATAGTAGATTATTTTTTGTAAAATGTAATAGTTCATTTATTTCACTTTGATTATCTATGCAAAATAAATATTCCTACAATCATGAATTAAAATCTTTTTTTTTTTCATGATGTCATTTTGTTTATGATTTAAGGCTGACAATACAAAACAAACATACAAATATATGGTTATCTTCTATTATTATTCCATTATTGTTTCTATTGATATTGTGTTGCGGGAATAGGAAAAAAATTGACAAGATTAATCATATGATAAATTAATTCATATAGACAACTTGACTGACAGTTGTTCTTAACATATGATTGCATAAAAAGCATAAGACTTCAATCTATTTCTTTTCGATCTATTATGATACAATTAATATGTATTGATTAAAAATTTCTTAGAGTTCTAATGTAAAAGACTGATAATATTCAATCTCTAATGGATTCAATTACGAATAGGGAAAATTTTGTTTTTTTCATATTAGAACTCTTGAATGATGAATTATTTACTGATATATATCGCAGATAATTATTATTCATGAACTAAATAATAAATGAAATTGTAATTTTTGATTTAAAGATAATTTAATAATAGTAAATCGAAGGACAAAAAAAAAAGATCTAAATACATGACTTTTGTTTCCTAGACAGATGCTTCCATGACATTCACTTTTCTCCGACTGTTTATTTGAACTGTGAGCAATCAAACAAAATAAATAACCTCACCTTTACTTTGACATTAATCTTCGCCTTCACTTTACCGTCTGTCTTCTCAATATTATCAAAGCAACTGTTTTTTTCAACCATGAAAAGAAACATATGACAGACAACTATATGAAAGAAATGTAGTTAGTTAATGATTTGTCTCTTTGCATTAGCTATTTATATATGTTGAACATGTGTGTCGAATACAAAAATTATTAAAAAGCAGATTTATTTCGTTAATAGACATATTGAAGCAGCATGACCTTTGACATAGAAAGATTTGAACACGAACGGAAAGATCGAATTAGTGCAGAATAGTTTATTCATGATCTAATGAGTACCAATTATTCAATTTACTATTGCCATGCATTAGGATAATATATTGAAGTTTTGTATTTTACTACTTATAACTTCCGTACATAGACAAGATTACTTGATTCATTAGAAAATATGAATAAACGATAGACATTAAATCATGATGACCTTGTTCTATGTGACAAAGACTGATTAATAATAAAAAACTATAATGTTTTTATTATAGAAATATTCATGATAAAGAAAAATTCATGAACTATATTAATCCGATGTAGTGATCGGTGGCGGCAATCATGGATGGAACCAATCTGAGTAGTTCAGACTGGTACCAGGTCGATCGGTAACTGACACCGATTCCGTTTCAGATGGCGGCGGTAGCTGCAATTTTTTTTTTTTTTTTGATAAATTTTGAAATGAAAAAGACAGAAAACACTGATAGAGAACTTATTGACAAGAAACCAGAAGGCAATATCTACGAAAACTAATTTGAGATGTTGGAAATTTTTAAAAATTTGTGTATCATAACAGCGGTGGCTTACACCTTGAGTCAACGGATACAAAACAAAGCCGGTAAAAAGTATCGTATATCTTCGGGATAACTATCCAATGCCATCGATTAGAAAATCTCATTGAGAATATCCAAGTATAGTTAGATCGGATCCGGACCACACGTCATTATGACTGTATACAGTTCCAAATTCAATCATTAAAAAACTGTAACTTGCATGTAAAATACAATTATTTTTCTTGTCTATGTACCAATTAATCATAAAATTGATTCAAATAGATAATTGTTTACTACAATGAATGATTTATTTATTTTTTTTTCTAGTAGAGATAAAAATTAGCAAATGTAAATTTCACAATTCACAGAACTAAAATATTTCGCAAACGAACAACGTCATTTATTATTGTTTAGTACTCAAAATTATGTTTTTTTTTTAAGGTGAAAAAAAGAAATGAAAACAATATCACTGGTGTAGATTTTCGTTTTTTTTTTTTTATAAAAATTCTCTTTGTATAAATGAAATACGAAAAAAGAACTTTGAAATTTCCACTACCATCAAGAGTAGAAATCTATTAGCAAAAAAAAAAAAGAAAAAAAAAATCATCTGAATCAATAGAAAAAAAAAATAGAACCAACAATAACAAAGAGCACAAAAAAAAAAGAAAAAGAAAAAGAAGACAAGAAATCTCATCATACAGTTGATGAATTTGTCTTTCCATTAAACATTGATAAAGAACCATCTTTAAATCCAACAGCAAGCAATGGTCGATATTGATGAAATGATAAACATGATGTTTGAGCAAATTTTGAATTTTTTATATCAAAAAGTAAATCACCAAAACATGTTTTAAATTGTAAAGCATTTGCTGTTGCTAATGATAATACATTACCTGTTGAATGAATATCAGCTGCTGATATATGTTGTGATGTTTGTGGTACAGGTAATTCAGCACTAATACCTGTTTCAGTATCCCATCGTCTTAATTGTCCCATATTACTTATTGATAATAAACGATTATTTATATCAGATTTTAATGTAATTATAGATGAATGACGATTCAATGGTGTTGGTGATGGACTTATACCAATTGGATTTTCTCGTGAACGTGTATCAAAACAGCGTACTGTTCCATCACCCATACCAGCTGCACAATAACCATTTGAATCTGATACAAGACAATAAACACCACCAGATGTACCTGTATCCATTGTATATAAACGACGTTCACGTTCAACATCCCATAGAGATATATAATCAATATTAGAACTTGATGTATATATACGACATAATTGTTGATTCCAATCAACAACAAATTTTGCTTGTGATGTAGAAGTTGGATTAGATATTGAACGATGATGATGATGAGATGAATGAATATGAGTATATTGATCATATAAAGCTATCCATGATGAAATAAGACGTTGAGTAGATTCATCAAATATACGAATAGCACTTGTATCAGTTCCAACACAAATTAATGTTCGATCATGTGCATTAATAAAATCTAATGTATTGATTGTTGAACCTATTGAACCAACCTAAAAAATAAATTAAAAATAAAACGATAGATACATATCAGATAAGACACTAAAGGTGGACCATTTTATTATTAAGTGTTAAGTAAAGTCATTTAACATAATGATCCACTCCTAGATGATACATGAAATTCGTTAATGTATAAAACGATATTAATAGTTGATGAAGAAGCATCACCAAGTGAAACTCGTCAATCGAATCGATATTTTACCCATAAGTAGGATTGGTCTCCATGTACTCTCCTTCTTAAGTTATTACAATTTTACTTAATTTTTTATCTCCCACAAGGTATCTGTGAAAAAATCGAAGTATGAAAGTTTACCTATATGTAACTCTCTTAGACATTAGAATGTCCTAAAAATTTCAGTCCAATGGAATTTATTCTTTCTTAGGTCTTGAATATTGAGAAATAATCATATGTCCCAAAGAAAGATGTTTTCAGCATTCGATATCTCAAGTGCAATACTCCATTTTCGGTTTGAAATTTTTAGGATATTCTAAAGTCTACGAGAGTTACATGTAGGCAAAATTTCATACTTCGATAGTTTCATCAATACCTTGTCTAAGATAAAAAATGAATCCGAGTCCAATTTTTTATTTTGTGTCAGACTCGATTCCACGTTTTTGTGAATCCGCTGCTTTCCAGGTGAGAAATATAGCAACAGGATATAAGTGTATGTTGAGTTTTTTCTTCAGAGTGTAACGAATAAATTGCTAAAACCTTGATCTTCTACTTGTTCATGCAAACGAAGAGTGATATGTATTGATGGAAAAAATCTCGAGTTTGAACCCGTCCGA